GAGAGAGAGAGAGTAGCGCCACCCTTAAAAATTCACAAAGCGATTGCCTCTGGATATATCGCTTTCATTAATAAAAATGAGCGTGCAAAATTGAAACGAAGATTAAATTTTCACTCGGTTAAAAGCTCCGCAAACCTGAACACTCGATCGACTGAAAAAAATATCGAATCAAATATGTTTCGATCGATTCTCCTCGACCTAGAAAAAAAAAAAAAATAAAACCTCCACGAGAGTATAGAATTTGAACGCTTGAAAGAAAAAAATCTTCGAGGGAAAGATTGGAAGAATGAGAAGAATGAAGGAAAGCACACGATGCCGCCGATGAAACTCGCGTCGTGTCGATACAGAGGAGAGAGGAGAAAAAAAAGAAGAAAGAAAGAAAGAAAGAAAGAAAGAAAGAAAGAAAGAAGAAGATGTAGCGTAGGTAGGACTGTCGGGACAGGAAGCTAAAGAGGGCGGTTAACAGGAGCTTCGGGGCAATAAGCGACTCTACAAGCTTTGGGAGGCGACGAGAGATGACCGCACAGGAAAAGCCGCACTGGTCAGCAGAAACAGCTCGCAAAAACACGGTCGGCCAGCCTCTTCTCTGCCCCACAGCAGCGGCAACCCCAGGGAAAGCTCCACCGACCACCCACACCTAAACCCTACTCCCACCATTTCCCTTGCTAGTGGCTCTTCCCCTCCTCCTCGTTCTTCGTCGTTTCCTCGCTCCTTTCCGCACCAACTACCGCCACACGTTAAGGGTTGCTTAGGTAGTTGGTACAGGGGAGTAGAGGAGAACCGAGTGGAGGAGTTGGAGGGGTTTGCTCGGTGGCAAGATTACGGCGAAGTTGCGCTCATTTAAATAATGCGCACAATAAAGTATGCAATGGCTAAGAGTAGAGGGGGAGAGGAGGTTGGCCTGGGGTTCCGTTAGCGCTCGATGTTCCTGTTTCAAGAGTAGAAGGGATGGCGCTCCCGGGTGCAGTCACGTACTCTTGAAGAAGGAACGTCTGGGAATCTAGGCATACGTACACGCGCCAACGATTGCACGTGAAAGTTTATACGTACGCGATTAGATTTACGATTGATATTCCCAAGTTGTTGGGAAACTTTGATTTGACAAAAGTGTTGATTTTTTATTACGAAAAAGAAGAAGGAAAAATTTCGGACGATTGATTCAGAAACGATTCTTTTTTTTTTTTTCTTTTTCTCTAAAATTTGCATACTGGCCGTGCAAGCATGCGTGAGATTACTTTCACGTCGAACGAAACTCCTATCGCGAATGTATCAGAAGGGTGAGTTTGAGCGTTCCGCCCCAAAGGTTTCGCCGATCGATTGCGATTCCCAAGGTCATCTAAGTTTTCCGACCATGGACATTGCGTGGAATGACCCGCTTCGATAGGTTACAGGGATTCCGGAATAAATCCCTTTTAGTCGAAGCAAAAGTTTTTTTTCCACGGTAATCTTGCATCTCTCCGACACCCTAAACTCGCTTTCTTTTTCTTTCCCTCCCTGCCTCCTGGACCGAAATGCGATCGTTCGTCAGGATGAAATCGAGTATGCTAAAAATGATTTTACGCGTTGATTTTTTTCCCTCCACTACCCCCCCTCCTCCTCCTCCTCCCTTCCCCCTCTTCCCCCTTTAACCAACTTTAACGGAACGTTCATGATTCTCCGGTTTTTAAAGGATAGAACGCACGATAGAAACGATCGATAGAAAGGAAAGAAGGAAAGAAGAAATATTGGTTTGAAACGATTTAAAAAATTAAAAGGACGAGAATAACGATCGATTTTCTTTGGTCGAAGGGAATAAAGTGGGAGAAGTGCCAAAAATGAGAATAGTAAATAATATATTCGAGTAATAGGGGTGTTCTTTCTTCGCTACTATACCCATTCCGTCGGTGTATCTTATGAGTATAAAAAAAGGGAGGCGCGAAGATGAATGTAATGAAAAACTGGGGCTGCTTAAATAAAATAAAGCTTGTTGGCATATTATTGGCGGGAGGGTTGCATTTTATCTTCTTTCTACCCTCTATCCCTCCTCTGCCTCTTATACTTCATTTTTTCAGTTTATTCTTCGTCCACGGGAAGAAGTGTTTCATTTGCTCGATAACGTTATATCTCGCGACGGATTTTTAACGATGCAAATACTACCGAGCTGTTTCATAAACGTCACATTTTTATCCTAACCACTCAATTATGTAACAAGAAGAAATGTATATTGGAGCATTGCCAGCTAAGAATACGCGATCTATTTCACCGCGGCTGTGTTAAACGATAACTATTTCGATTATTAAGCGATGAAACTGTTAAACGACATTCGCGAATGTAAATACGATAAATACTAATCGCATCGTAATGTCATCGTGGTGAGACATCAATTTATTTGTTACGCTGCCCATGATGACATAATTGAAACCCTGACTTTACCTTTTCGTTACGCAATACCTTCTTCTTGTCCCTCCTGTATCCCCAACAGACTAACTCGACAAAAATGACAAATAGCATGGCAAAGGAGGCGTCTAATTTACATATCCACTAATCTCTGTCTCTCTTCGTGTCTCCCGCTCTAATTCCACGCTAATTTGCCATTTTCCTACAGGAAAACGACGATGAGATCGAATCCTCTGGCATCTTCCCTATTAGAATCGCCAAGATACGATACTTGTCTCTCGAATACAGATAAATAAAATTTCAAAACATGGAACGTAATTATAAAAGAATTAGAAAAAAAAAAAAAGGAACTTGAGATAATTCTCAAAGAGATATGAGATCAAGTTGATATTTCTAAGCGCGATTAACGACATTAATCTAATTGGGCATCAATTAAACTCGAATCAGTGTGTCGTTTCATCTATACTTCATCCTAATGAAGGATGTAACAGCACCGCCCCATAAACATTTCGAAATTGTGCAGGTGCTGTCCTTGATTTATGATAGGCAATTAGAATCTGACTACCTTATTTGCCGTCGTTGCCACTAAGAAGTGCCGCCAGCATGTGAATACGACGCATCCTAATCTATGCCCGAAACCCTAATTTTGAACGGACGCCAGATGTTATGGGGACGAAGAAAGAAAATCTAAAATATAAATAAACTACTGAGAAACACTACTATACCATACATTTGATTTGAATAAAATTTTCAATTGGATATTGGACGCATCGAAAATACGAACAATTAATTCTTACATAATTAAAGATCAATGTATACGATATGGTGATTAATAACCAACGAACACGATAAATAATGAATGTATGTTAAGTGCAGAATTAATAATGTGGAATCGCGTAATGAAACTATGTATACCGTTAGCTGATTATAGAATCTAAGGGTAAAGTCGATGTCGGAAGGAGATAAATGAAGAGAGATGGTTTGCGGAAACTGGAAATGCAATATTCCGTGAAACCCGTCACTAAGAGGATCGTAAAATAATAGATATACGCGATTAGAATTCTTTAGTTAATTCGAGAATTTCGTCACTCTTAATTAAAGAGTTAGTTTACGTCTGTGTTAATGGATTCTAATTGAATATCGATAACAAATTCTCTTCGAAGGAAAAAACAAATTGCATAACATTATATGTAGATAACGATGAAGAAAATGATTAGATCCTACATTGTTCCTAAATTCTATCAACGTTATTGTAATCAGCGATTCGACGATTGGAAGAAAGGCTAAGCTAATTCTGCCAATCCGCCCCCTTGCTCTCGGTAATATCCAACGGAAGAAAAAACATTGTGCTTCGATAAATTCATCTCTGCGGAACAAGTGATTGTTTTCCAATGAACCTGATAAGGACAGAGGCGGAAATGAGTAAAAGGGGAACCGAGTCCGACAGAAAGCTCCGAGAATGGCAGAAAGGAGTAAGAGAAGGAGATGGAGACGACGGAGTATAGGAGAAGTTGGGGTAGAGATGGCCCGGCGTTCATCGGACATTTATCCAATTAACCGATTCGAGTTGAGTAACCGGGGGTCAGAAGATCGTTCGAATACCTATATAGACAATGCACACGTTTTGGTACACGAATGTATCCCAATAATGGATACGCGTTCATACGGAAAAAGGAGGAAGCTAGGTTATGTAATGTCCAATGTTGATCTGTTATGTTTAATTACGGAAACTGATATTGACGGGTCGGTATGTACAGAATAGAAAAGGAAGAATCGTTAAAACGAAGAGGATGGAGAGTGAGATCGGTGCTAGATGCTTGTTCGTAAAGTTACCCCTTTCTCTGCGTAGGGTTCGAGCTCCGAAAAGGGGTTGGGGAACGGAGGAGAACTACTGAGGCGCTTGGGCACTGTCGAACGAAATGGCCAGCAATATTGTCGTCGTGGTTCGGGAGATTTGCGTGGGGCAGATCGAGGAAGAGCAGGGAAAGGGCTCAGAGTGACATGGGAAATTAATTATACGCTCCTGAAAATCCTGACCTGACCGTCTGAACACTAAAACAGATCATTGTCTATCTCCATGTATCTTTGTCTTATTTTTAATCCCACCAATTACGTTTGAATGATATAAAAACTTTTAACGATTATCTAACTTTCAATATTACTTATAAATATTATATCAAATTATTTAAAATAATTTTGCGTTGATATACGTTGTAAATTTAAATAATAAAAATTGAATGAAAATGTTAAAAGATAAGTTTGTAATATCAAGCAAGAAATAAATTAGTTTTTATGAATATACATAATAAAAAGATACGCATATTCGTAATATGTAAATTCTATGATAATACAACGAATAAAATATTTTAAAAGCACATAAATGCATTCTAATAAAACACAGAATTTGTTCACCATAGAATTTACAATGTATCGATATCGTGAGAGATAGAAATAAAGATAGACTCACGAAACAGCAGCTCTGGAAGTACATCCGGGGATCCATTATCCAGATCTTGGAATTCAACTGCCCGAAACGACCATAAGATTTGTGTTTGCACTTTTGTGTAAGAGTAATCTGCCTTGATGTTTGTCATTCTAATAGTTTCATATCCACTTTATAATTAAGATATCTATGATAAAAAAATAAAAAATAAACAGTAAGTTATATAAAAATAAATACTAAAACGAAGATAAACATAATTTAATAATTTAAAGACAAACCATGTCTAGCAACTTTGATGATGTTAAACTGTTGTTAAATTTCTTAAATCACTTTCCAAACTCGAAATCTAAAAATAAAAAACAATATGTTTTAAAATATGTTTGATTTTATATATTGTTATGGATAAATATAAAAAAAATCTTTCTATTTCTTTTCTCATACTTCATCATCACTATATTATCAATTTTCCTTTATAAATTTGTACATATTTACTGTTATTATAATATTACTGTTATTATTATAATTTATTGTTATTATAATAAATTTTATAATAACCTATATAAACTTTATGTATATGTATATAATACTATATAATCCTTATGCACAAAAAAATTGTATTTGTAAAAAAAATTATTCATATTACATGACTTTAATATCTTTAAGGCGTAGCTTGCAAAGTTAGCGGCTACTAGCGAGTCCACTAAATCTTGTACCCTGAACCACCTTCCCGTACCATCTCTAGAATCACCCCTGCCTAGCCATTCTTATTCCCTCGTTACTTGCAGCTTCGCTCGAGGCGGCTTTCTCCTTATTATATCGTCTTTCCACGCCATAAAATCGGAAAAGAATTTCGCTCCCCAAGACAATAGAAACTAATAAATTTGATTACTGATTACTCTTGCGAATTTTTTAGATTAAAAACTGATCGTAAAACAAATCCTAATTAGAACAAAATTTTTACACGATTATTGTATGCATGTTGTGCGTACATTTTAATTTTGCGGCCATTTTGTTTCACTTTCTATCATGCTATCGAAATGCTATATATACATCGCAATATAACTCCTAACCATAAAACCAATGAAACAATGAATACTTTAAATTATAGAAATTTGAAACTATTTATGTTATTAAATCTAATTTGCACCTTAGAATACGGAATAAACTTAATTTATATTTTATATAACTGCAGAAATTGCGTATCATTTTCTTCAAATTAACCACAAGCAACAATGATAAATAATTACAAGTCTATGAAAAAATTAAAACTAGAATAAATACAACAATATTAATATTCGTTTCTAAAAAGATATATACTCACATATTTCACTTAATCAATAGTATCAACAGTTGAAACACACTTGTATTTTTATAAATTGTTGAACTCTACGACACTTTGACGACACAAGAAAAATTACTAATGGTTGCCAAAAGCGCGGCAATTTCAAGATTTATATGTGACACCCAACTGTAACAGGAAATACATTCAGATCCATCTATAATGTTACCACATCTTATAATTCATTTTAACCTCACGTTGATAATGCAGGAAGGATAATGTAGAAAACATATCATACAAACAAGATAAATTTTTTATACAATGTTTTTACCATCATATAGAAAATTTTAGTAATAATTTTAGTAATAATTTTAGTAAATTTGATATAAAATAAAACTAAAGTATCAATAATAAGTAAAATTAAAATTAAATATTATGGAATTGTAAATAAAATATAAATATTTATTATTCAATGCAATTTTTATTTGATAATGAAATAATTTTTAAATGTTTGAATAGTAATTTTTGATCTAGTAACTTTTGTCTAATTATTTATTTTTTAATTATTTAAAACTATTTTTTTTATTGAAAAATTAAAGCAGTTAAATTCTGTATTTATCAACAACAGTCAAGTAAGTTAACAGAAATAAAAATTAATGTACAGATGATATTTTGTTTGTGATTGATTATTTAATAGTAGATTGACTGTTGCATTCGTAGTTATTTTCAATAGCAACAATAGACAATTATCAATGTTTAAATTTAATTATTATTATTAAAAATTTTCATGATTGAAGATTCCACTAAAAATATTATACAAGATGCTAAAAACATAGAATATAAAAATTAATAATATTATTTATAAAAAAATATTTGAAAAAAATATGTAAATTATCAATATAATATAAATTTAATAATAAGTTATCACACAATACAAAATTATTTAACAAGTAGAACATGATCTTATTTTTTATATTTATTATGCTCAAATTTTATGAACAAATTTCAATATACACACATATGCACACACACACACATTAAAAAATGCATAATATATAACGATTAATACATAAATAACTATACATTTATAGATTAATATAAACGTATTTATATATGTTTATTAAATTATGTGTATGTGAGAAAATTTGTTACAGATAAACATTGATATGAATTATGTGTATTATATGTACATTTGTTCATGTATATTTATAATGAGGTATTTTTTTTAAATATTAATAATTATTTTTAATTGATATAATAAATGTATATAAGTGTATATTATTATAGCTATAAATATTTTACAACTATTAATATATATCTAAGGATATTATTTTCTAAAATAGAAAGAATCATGTTTACTCTACATTTTTTATTCGTGTTTTCTTAATCATATAAAATGAGGATACATATGCATATGTTAAAATAATATCATTTCAAGTAAATGATGCGTACGATTTATCATCCAATTCAATATTTTCTTGTCATTTGTAGTCAATACCAGAATACGAACGCAGTTATAATAAACGGTTTATGTTTGAGTCAAAACAACCGCGCTTAGTTTTCATCATGTATCAAGTGTGTATTGTTCGTATAAACTTTATTTTTAAGTAAATAATTCTTTAAAATATTGACATTAATAGATTAAGTGTTTAAATTTTTACTTGATATTTATATATCAGTACATATGTGGTGAGAATTTAAATAGATTATTTTTATACATATTAGTTCAGTAGTGTAGTATATTTTCAGTAATAAGAAAATTAAAAATATATTAAATTGATGATTACATGGATGATAAAATATTAAAAAAATATATTATTATGTCGATAAATAGGTCTTCGATTAAAACTATTAATATATTGGCTGTTTTAATGGTTAGTAATTTAGTAAAAGTAAAATTTTAAAAAGCGTATTACGATTTATAGAATTAATAATAATATTACATGATTTGATTTTATCTTAATACATTGTTTGTCATTTTAATCAAAAAATTTATTAGTAGAATAGTTATTTTACTTAATATTATGAACAAAAAAGAAAAGAAATATTTAAAAATTATTTATATTAATGATTTAAATGTCAAATTTAACAAAATTAAAAACATTTTTATAAAACATGAAATTCTTAACAGGATAAAGATTTTGAAGTGTCAAAAATTTTAAAATAATACTGAAAAAATGGTAAGCAAATTACCACAAGAATTTAGAAGGTATTTACGTAACCGAAATCAATTACAACATGTTCTTGAAGAAACTCAACAAGCATTAGAACTTATTAACCTAGAAAACTTTTTTCCTGAAGGTAAATATTTGACTTTTTAAGCTATAATAATATTAGAATAGAATTTGATTCAATTATATGTTTACAGAAAATGTTGTGGAAGAATTATTACCTCCTCTAACATTGAACAGAATTACACATATTTTAGCAAACTCTCCAGCTATTATAATTCTGGGACAAGATAGCAAGGCAAAGGCAATAGTAGTTAATACATTAATATCTAATGATATTTTACCAGTATGTAATGGATTATGGCGATGGATTAGACTTACTTATGGTCAAACAAACCACATTAGTCTCACATTAGATCTAGAATATGAATTAGTTGAAAATTTACAAGCAAATGAAAAACCTTGGAGTACTCTTCCAATCGAAGATTTAACAAAGTCTGATAATGAAGATACAACTTATCCAACTGTGCTTGAAGTTCAGCTTAATCTGCCTATATTAAAAGATGGTGTTCAAATTTTTATTGCTCCAAATAATGGGGCAATAAAAGTTCTTGCAAATGAATTTTTATCTATTTTACCAATATTTTTATATGCACTTGGTGAACAGCCTTTAACAGAACAAAATTTAGAAGAATTAAGAGATTTAAAAGAAACATATCCCTTTAATCCTGTACTTTTTATCTCATCCTTGGAAAATATATCATTGAATGGTATTGATCCTGAATTGACAGAATCTGAACAACATAGACTTCAAAATCGACTATATACCAATGATTCTACATCAAGTAAAACTGATGATGATGGTATTGATTTTGACAGAATGAATTCACTTGGATTATCATGGTTAGATCAACTAACAAATTTAGGTTCCTTGGAATGAAAGAATCTGTTGAAGTTGATCAATTATCTTGGCTAGGTAGTGGACAATATATAAGTGACTTTGTGGGTTCATGTAGAAAAACAGATCAAATTTTATATTTTATTCGTGGATGTTTGCAAACTTATCTTATTAATGCTAGCACTTATTTAAATGAAGTACATACTGCAAGCTTAAGAAAATTCATTTTAAGTGCTTTTGATATGGCACGTATAATTCAAATAACTCCTAAAAGAATACAATATGCTCAACATAAAGAAAATGAATTGTATGCCAATCTAATGAAAATTGTTCATGAAAAACAACAGGAAATAACTGGATTAATACAAAACATTATTCAAGAAATGAAAAATGATGTTTTATTATCTAATAATGATGTTTATTTATATCAAAACACCATGTCTAATAATAATCAAAGAACAGAATGGTCCGCAACTGTTAAAGCTGCAATTTCTGAAGTTCAGAGAGTAGTGCTTGGTCGTCTATGCGAGAAAGTCGCAAAACAACTTGTAAATTCCGTCAATTGTTTGCGTGAGAGTTTTATTGGTACATTACAGCGTTGTTTATTAAGTCTCGAAAAAACATATGAACGCGATACTTGTTTATTAGCAAGTGATGCTTTGAAACAAATACTCTCAGCTGCATATAATGTTGAATTACATAATTCTTCACCATTTTCAATATATTCATTTTTAGAAAGATTAAATTTAATTTTCATGTCTTCATCCTTGCAATGGTCATCAACTCACACTTTAGATGTAGCTTGGAGAAGAAAAGTGACAATAGAAATACTAAATTCTTTATCTGCAACAAAACTATCCAAAATAATATTAATGCAATTTGGAGATAAACTTGAATCGTCACATGATTCATTTCAGGCAGCTCTCAGATCTATAGAAAATTATTATTCTGGAAAATTAGAAAGAACAGAAGAACAAAGAATAGCTCTTAGAAAATATCATGCTCCTAGATTAGCTAAATTAGCATTAGAATCAACTTCAATGATAGATGTTGTTCGTTACGGAAAACCTCATTGTGCTGAAGAAATTGGCCGTGGCCAATATGGAATTGTATTTGCTTGTGATGGTTGGGGTGGTAAAGCTGGTCCTTGTGCAATTAAATCAGTTGTTCCATCAGATGAAAGCCATTGGAATGATCTGGCTATGGAATTTTATTATAATAGATCTATCCCTGATCATAAAAGAATAGTAAAACTTAGAGGATCAATTATTGATCATTCTTATGGTGGAGGATTTGGATTTGGATCTGCTGTTCTTTTGATATCAGATCGTTTAAGTCGTGATTTATATTGCGGAATACGTGCCGGCTTGTCGTGGTTAGAACGTATACAAATAGCATTAGATGTGTTAGAAGGAATACGTTATCTTCATTCTCAAGGACTTGTACATCGAGATGTTAAGTTGAAAAACGTTCTTCTTGATATTGAAAATAGAGCGAAATTAACTGATTTTGGATTTTGCATCACAGAAGTTATGATGTTAGGAAGCATTGTGGGAACACCTGTCCATATGGCACCAGAATTACTCTCTGGTCATTATGATAGTAGTGTTGATGTATATGCATTTGGGATTTTATTTTGGTATTTATGCGCAGGACATGTAAGATTACCATATACTTTTGAACAATTCCATAATAAAGAACTATTATGGACTAGTGTGAAAAAAGGTAATTTTGGAAATCAAAATAAATATTTAATTTTATATATTCTTTTCTAAGCATTAATGATTGTAGGTATACGTCCAGAAAGATTACCTTCTTTTGATGATGAATGTTGGAGATTAATGGAACAATGTTGGTCTGGAGAACCATCTAAACGTCCTTTACTTGGAGCTATTGTACCAGTATTAGAATCTATTCAACAAAAAGCAAAAAGAAGCAAATCCTTACAAGAGGTTTCTTCAGATAAATTACAAGAAAGTTCAACAACAGATTCAAGAAATCCTGCATTAGCACTAGCAGAACCTTATAATCAAAGAGGTACTGTAGTCAGTCCTCCTCCTACAAAACGTAGGACAATGAAAGTTGTGAAATACCATCTTTTTCTTACTAATTTATATATTCAAATGCGGGAATTATAAAGCATTTATTTTCTAT